TATAAAAATAATATAAATAATATATAGAATATATATATATATATAATAAAATATATATATATATTATAACATATATATATAATATATAATATATATTATATAATATATATAATATAATATATATATATATGATATATTAAAAGTAATATATATATATGTAAATTATGTGAAATATACATATATATATATATATTATCAAACAATATGTATAATATATACAAATTATAAAATATACATAGTATATATAATCTATATAATATGAACAAAGAAATATATATATATATATAAACAATATGTATATATATATATATATTTATTAAATCCAGCAAAAATCCTCATAGAATATGTATGTAATTTCTTTGTTGACCGGAGAAATTTCTTTGTTGACCGGAGACACTTCTAAGAGATTTATTTTCAGCTGGTCGATATGAAGTCAGCCGGAGAAGTGCTTCTGGGTTGCCTACCTGAAACGTGGAACCAGTAACCCCCCACCAATATGTCCCAACAATTGTTCCCTATGATATCCACACATCATTTGTTGTTCCCGCGTTTTTGTTGGAAAAACCTATGGAATATTACAATTCTTTCCTAGTATATATCCGCAGTATCCATGATCAAAACACCATTTTGGTGGTTACACCCTACCATTTTTCATTCTAAAACAATCACGTTCATCCATTTTCAATGGATATCCCCGTTGTTTCATGGCAAAGCCGCAGAGAAACCGCACCTAGGCGTTTTGCTCGGAAGCTGTCGCTGAGCATTCGATGTCGGATTGGAGGTCCTCGGAAGGTTGTTTGCAACAAGAAAGGAAGGTTAATTAATGGAAATAATGGGGAAAAATGGGAAAATGCTTAGTCATGGGACTTTAATGGATTTTATGGGTTCCGATCAGAAAATGGTGGCAAATCATGCGAATATAACGGTTAAATCAAAATATGGTTGAATGATATGACATGGGAATTTAATGGGTTGATACTAGTTTATGATGATTAAAGGGGGATTATCCAGCAATAGTGGGATATCAATGGACATCATGATTATATTATGACTGGGTAGTCAAAAACACTTTATGGTTTTATGGTGACTTCACGAACGCACAAAATCGTGGTAACATAGGGATAATGGGAATATAATGGAATATCAATGAGAGATCAGTGAGATAATAATGGGGGTATGAATGCAATAGAACGGACTATTGATAGAATATTGATGGATACACCGTTGGGTAGTCAAACATCGCAATAGAAACTCACCCATCATGGTGTTTTTATGGGAAAATAAAAGAACATAGAACATATCATCTGGAGATTTTCCAGCCAAGCCATGTTTGATTGCCAGAGAGTATAGCCAACAAACAATAGAGATATTGTTCCATACTGTCCATGCCATGCCCAAAAAATGTGGACTGTGATGTGGCAATGGGTTCGCCCAGCAACTTTTTCCCGAATGCGTAGCAAAGGTTACCGTTTCACTCTGGGGGTCTGGGGGTTGAGGGTGTGTTTGCTCGACGCTGCGCAACCGTTCGCAACCGTCCGTCCGCAACCGTTCGCAACCGTCCGCAACCGTCTGCAAGCGTCCGCGCGAGGCCTGTATGGCCGTGCCTATGGCGAGTTCTGCAAAAGGGGTCACTTTTGGAGGTTTCACTTGAGCCCTCGAAGAAAATATGGTCAAAGATTTGTTGCTCACTTGAGCCATATGACAATTTGTTCTCCAACCATGTTATGCGACATGAATATGAAGTGCTGATTCAAAATGACTGTAAGCTGAATGCGACAAACCCTCGGCAAATATTCAGTGAAGTCAGTTTTTTTGACTATATAGATCCAAAGGTCCGAGCAGGTCATTGCCCAAAAACTCGGGTGCAGCCTGTGACGGCACTGCAAAAAGTCGATGAAGTTGTCAGTCATGACGGTGACGACAAGAAAATTGGGCACCATGATCTTGCTAAGCAGGCCCGGCAGGGTCCGTCGCCGCCTCATCAAAGGGATGTTGCAAAAGCCCCAGGACCGGGATGAGCTCCGAACGCAACAAAATGAGTAGTCGTGAGCTGCTCGCTGACCGGGAGTTGGTTAGCCCCAGACGATTTGAGACTTCTGAATGTCAGCAGGAGATGAGTCAACTTGAAAATTCGCATTTTTTTCATGGTTCATGGCCCGATGCTTGAAATTCTGCTACGTTTCAATGATTCAATGTCACGGAGACTTCACACAAGCTGGTTCTTGAGGCGTGGGACTGCATGGGCATTTGAAGCAGTGCCCCGCAGCTCGGCGCTCTGCCAAACGGCGATCGCTTTTGTGTCATCTCTGTCGAGATTGCTATCGATGAAGAGGGGGACGCACTCCTTGCATAGAAAGTGCGCTGGCCCTTCTCCTTCAGCTGTCTGAACTGGATTGATGCAGCGGACGTCGCCGCGCATGTGTTCTAAGCAGACGACGCAGCATCCGTTGAGCTGTTCTTGCTGGCGCAGCTGCGTTTGCCGCTGGTGTAAGGCATCTTCTTCAGCAGACCTTAAGGAAGCTTCTAGGGCTTCCATGAGGTCGAGGCTTTCATCATCGTCGTCGGTGACGCCGCCTTGTTGCGACGCGGCCCCAGCCCCGAACGGTTTGCATGGGATCGTGCATGCCGTGCTTTTGAACAATCTTGAACATACACAGTATTCAAAACCAATCAGTACCGCTGAGCAAAACAGGGCGGCGTTGAAGAAATCAATGCATTTTCAACGGATGTTTGGGTAATCTTCAAGCGTCTGATGCGCAAGGTAGGAGACATACGTATTTCAATGTGGCAATGACCACTGCCACACACATCCAAACATTGGAATACATCACAATAAACACAAAAATCACGGCAAGTTGTGTATATTCAACCTCCACATATCTATAATATCCTTTTTTCAATGTGGGTAAAGCCTGAGACCAGCCATATGGATTGATTGCTTATACCTGTTTATACCACCCATAAACATGGCAATGCGGGGGCTCGATGCCCCTGACAAAATGAAGGTTTTCAGCAGCAGCATGCAATGGATTATTGAACCCTCGCAGTGTTTTGTGAACATTGATAGTTTGAAATGCCAAAAAATGCCATTAGAACAGCTCCGAAGACATGGTCTTACTGCTATTTGCACCCCGTCGTCTCCAAAACTCTATTTTTTCTCAGCAATTTCCTTCACCATTTTTCAGCTCCGTGGCCAAAAGTGCAGAACAAGTTCTTGTCGACATTGTCCGTCGACATCATATATATATATATATATGTATGTATATATTGATTGATATGCTGCGCAGAACAAATCATGCACCACGACGAAGAATGCACAGCGTAGCAAACGCATGTCACTTCATGTACATGAACCGCGAGGAACCTAGCAGCATGAGACTCTTGTACCATGAAGAATGAACAGCGTAGCAACACATATGTCACTTCATGTACATGAAACATGAGGAGCGCAGCAGCAAACGCATCAACTCATGTACCACGAGGAGCGCACAGCGTAGCACATGTTGTCACTTCATGTACATGAACCACGAGGAGCGTAGCAGCAAAAGTATCAACTCATGCACCACCGCAGGGTGCACAGCGTAGCAACACGTATGTCACTTCGTGTACATGAACCATGAGTAGCGTAGCAGCAAAAGCATCAACCCGTAGCAACATGTATGTCACTTCATCTACATGAACCATGAGGTGCGTAGCAGCATGAGACTCTTGTACCGCGCAGAATGAACAGCGTAGCAACACGTGTGTCCCCTCATGTACATGAAACATGAGGAGCGTAGCAGCACATTTATCAACTCATGTATCACGAAGAGCGCGCAGCGTAGCAACACGTATGTCACTACATGAAACTTGAGGAGCGTAGCAGCAAAAGTATCAACTGATGTACCACAAACAATGCAGAGCGTAGCAACACGTATGCCACTTTATGTACATGAAACATGAGGAGCGCAGCAGCAAACGCATCAACTCATGTACCACGAGGAGTGCACAGCGTAGCACATGTTGTCACTTCATGTACATGAACCACGAGGAGCGTAGCAGCAAACGTATCAACTCGTGTACCACGAAGATTAATGTACAGCGTAGCAACACGTATGACACTTCTTGTACATAAACCATCAAGAGCGTACTATCAAGAACGTTATCATCGCCCCCGCCCCCACCCCCCCGAAACACCCCCAGAGGACCTTGTCCAACATCTTTATATCCAACATCAAACTCATAACAACACAAAACAGAGCAGAACATGATTTTTGAAACAAACAAACATAGCAGCATGACATGAAAAACAACAAACCATCAAAATGATGCCACGTTACTTCGCGTGACCCCTACCGTCGGAACATCCCGGAGGAAAATGTGGAGAGCAGAAGCAAACGAAAAAATAGAACGCAACAAACAAAAAAATCTAGAGACCAGACCGTCAATGTGGCAGGCGGGATAAACAAAGAGCCAGCTAAAACTCAAAGAAAATTGTGCGAGCATCAAATGCTGAACGCCATCTTCTCGACTGCGCCCTTGTGCCAGGTTGAAGCTAGTTCGCAATCGCAGGGCAGCAGCTTGGTAAAACACAGCTATCCAAGCTTTGGGCAATCGGCGCCTTGCCTGGTTTTCTCGCCCGTAGAGAAACTTTTGACAGAACAGAAAAAAGATGCAACCCAGTGAGCTCCGTTCTTAGAGTAAGGTCCAAAAAACATGTGAGTTGTTGATGTCGTATCTATTACTGGCGTCTCAATTTGATTGATGATTCCTTCATGTTCACACCGTCAGATCACGCCTGGTCACTGCTAAACTGCTAACTGCAAGACTGCAAGGCTGGGGAAATCCAGCAGGCGGGATGCAACTGCGTGCAACTCCTGAAAGGCTAACGTCAGGCCCAGATCAAAGTGGACCCCTGGTAGCCCTGGTCTCTTTAATATTGGGTGGTGCCATTTTGAAAGAGATGATAATGATAATCAGATAATATCACTTTTCTTCAAACATCAACATCCGATACTCAATCAGCTGGCCGTCCCTTTTTGCACGCCTCCCAGCACAGATTCCTGAAGTGAACAATGGCGGGATGACCTGGGAGGGCAAAAGAATTTTGGAAAAAAGGAAGGGGGTCTCTCAAGAAAACATGTTTGGGGTTCCTCTAAACAACGCTGGGCCTGCAAGAAAAAAACGATCATATTTTGTACAAGGAACGGTGAGAAAGAGGGTTTGGAGTCAACCAGTTGCTCACGCGCCCGGTTTAACTCTGCACAAACGCTCGGCCGCTCCAAAAAAGTTCTCAAACCAGCAGCCTTCAGATGCCGGTATGCCAGGTTCCTTCGAACTCGCGCCTTGGAAGGCAAGGTTTTGAAGACCTTGGCCTGGTTCTGTTCTTTCTGTTTATGCAGGACTTGTCGCTGCTTGCAACGTCGTGCGTTGGGTGTTTTGGACATTGCGCTCTGTGAAGTATGCTGTCGGCTTTGAGGTTGAAGTTGCTTACTTGTTGAAACCAATGGATCATGATTCTATGTTGAATGATGTTGAATGTAGTGTTCGTGCTTGTGCTGATTACGCTGTTGCCAGCTCCTATTTTGTGTGCACACATGGTCTGGTCAATCACAATATAGCGGGGGTTGCTCCAGTTGTGAAAAAAGAAAAACTGAATTGATATTTTCAAACAGTGACCTGACAGGACTGCACTCCCAACAATGCAACCATTGAACAATAGTAATCGGACATTAGACATGGAGGATCTAGGCAGGGAACATAAGCAAGACTCTAAAACCATATGGTCTGGTCAGCCTGATCATAAATAGGAATGTTGGCAGCGACTACACTGTAAGTTCAAGCCCGGCTTTCACACACCTGACCTAGATTTGTCAAACAGCTTATACTTGCTGTTTTGGCCGCTGTGGGAACCATACAGTCAGGGAAAGGTCACAAGAAATAAAGAAGAACAAAGATTCAACGTACATGTCCAAAAGATAACATGTACAAATTATTAGGCGCCCTGAGTCCCTGTGTAACCATAAACATGGAAAGAAGAAATGGGGATGGCTGGGATCCTATTGCTTTAGCCGCTGCAACTCAGCTATTTTTTTCGTCACCCAGGTATTGGTGAAATATATCCCGCAGAAGACTTCGTTCGTATACTGCAAAAGATAGGAACAAGTAAAATGCCACTATTTTCATGGGATGTTACTTTTTACAATCTTTTTCAAGGTTGCTAGCATTTATATGTTTAGCGAAATACCATGTTTCTCCAGAAGAACATGCTGAACAATGACCCATCACCTTGCAGCATGTGTTGTTCTGGTTATTCACTTGGTGCTTCACGCCAGTTACTGTAGCAAGTGGGTTAGTTACAGCCCAGTTAACTCAATAGTCACACGTGGCTATAAAATTGCATCTGTGTTTCTATGTGTTTCTTCAACATGCATTTTGTGGGCCAACAACAATGTATTTCTGTCGATTCAAGATGGATGTGTCCGGTTTGGACAATGGAGGGTCATTGCTTGGAGGATCCTACTTAGTAACTTGTGAATAACCAAAGTTATTAAGTCCCACATTCATATCTTATCCCATGTGTACACGGCTTACAACTGTGCTTACTAACCATTGTATCACATCAAAAATCCTATGATACTAAGGACCACCAGCTACTAAGTGGGATGGTCCTTCTTAAGTGCTCCAAAAAAAACAAACCGCTGCGGGTACCGCCGTCACCGTCCTCTCATGCGGCACCGGCGCCCGTCGTACCGGTCTCACCTGGTGAATTCTTCAACACGAGAGACTGTTTTTTTATTTACATGATATTAATGGGGGTAAATGGGATATAATGGTTAATATATTATGTGCATATATATATATATACATCATGTTATGTGTGTATATATACATGTAGATATACAAACGGTTAAATAAATAAGTAAATAACTAAAAAAAGAAAGAAAAATAATTAAATAAATAAATAAATAAATGAATATATATATATATATATATCACATATTACATACATGTATGTGTATATATATATATATATATCATATATATATATATCATATATATATATCATATATATATATATCATATAAATACTATTAATGCTAGTATTATCAATTATTACTATTTATTGTTGATCAATTATTGTATACTGTAATTGTTCTATATTACTGTGTTTTTTTCTAGGTTTTTGCTACTATGATGAAAAACAACTATCAAAATTACTTTACTTCGTGTGATTCCCACCATGACATTTATACATTTTGTTACTGGCAAATCTTCTGGCATTCTATCTGACATTTTATCTGGCATTCTATCTGGCATACCTTCTGGCATTCTATCTGGAATATCTTCTGGCATTCTATCTGGCATATCTTCTGGCATTCTACCTGGCATATCTTCTGGCATATGTTCTGGCATATCTTCTGGCATTCGATCTGGCATTCTGGCAAATCTTCTGGCATTCTATCTGGCAAACATGTTGGCACTTTATCTGGCATTCTATCTGGCATTCTACCTGGCATATCTTCTGGCATTCTATCTGGCATATCTTCTGGCATATAATCTGGCAAATCTTGTGGCATTCTATCTGGCAAACATGCTGGCACTTTATGTGGCATATCTTCTGGCATTCTATCTGACATTTTATCTGGCATTCTATTATCTTCTGGCATTCTATCTGGCATATCTTATAGCTTTCTATCTGGCATATCTTCTGGCATTCTATCTGGCTGTTGAGGTCCAGCGGTGCGCACTGAGCTGGGCAGGTCCCAGGTTGAGGTCCAGCGGTGCACACTGAGCTGGGAAGGTCCCAGGTTGAGGTCCAGCGGTGCGCACTGAGCTCGGAAGGTCCCAGGTTGAGGTCCAGCGGTGCACATTGCGCTGGGAATGTCCCAGGTTGAGCTGGGAAGTTGGCAAAGAGCTTGGCGGAAGTTGAGGTGGAAGTTGATGCAGGCATGGTCGAGGCGAAACAGGCGGAGGAGAAGGAGGAGGCGGAGGAGAAGGAGGAAGAGGAGAGCTAGTCGAGGAGGAAGAGAACAGCTCTGATAAAATCTAACAACCCTCACCTGGCAGGTGGGGAATTTGGGTGTGTCTAAAAATGGGCCCCACCTTTTTTCGTAGTCAACAGTGGATTCATTGGATCACGGCACGTGTGTTGAACTCTTGGGGGCTTCATTTACCCTCTGGTTATGACTAACATGCCATGGTATAGATGGATGGCCCATTTATAGATGGTTTACGTGGGTTTACCTATTGAAAATTGTGATTTTCCATGGCTATGTTAAATAACCAGATGGTATGTGGCAAATTCGTGTTTTTGGGTGGGAACCCCTACCTTTTTCTTGTCACCCAATATTCAATGATCTGGGGGTGCTATTCTAGCAATGAAATGATGAATAGCTAGACCCTCCATAAATACACCCAACAATTGTAAACATACTAAAACTCTGGAGGCCAAACCACCATTTTTATGGCTTCTTGCGGGATCTACCCTCTGATAAACTAACGTAACGAACTGGAAAATCACCATGCTATTCATGGGTAAATCCAATATTTCAACTGGGCCATGGCTTCAATACCTATTTTGATATAACCAGAGGGTAGGCATAGAAAATGATGCTTCGTGTCCAACTCATCCAGGTACATCCATTGCTAAGCCGGATCCTCTTTTTGAAATACTGCCAGTTGTCAATCAAGGCCCCAAAATATGTGTGTGTATATATAATATATATATAATATTTGTGTAATTTTGTGTGTATATATATATATACACACCCTCTGGTGTCATCAAAGCTCGCTGGAAAATCCCCTATTTATAGATGATTTTCCCAGCTACAAAGCTCCATTTAGTGGGATAACCCATTGCCATCCATCGCCATGTTTGATTGCTAGAAGGTCATAGTCATTATGAATTAGTATAAAGAAATATAAAGAATACACATACTGTATCTATAAACACATTGTACTTAATATCACTAGTTTGATACTAGGGTGACAGTATATACCCTCTTGGTATTTGACATAGCCATGGAAAATGGTCCATTTATAGATGGTTTAACCTATTAAACATGGTGATTTTCCATGGCTATGCTAAATAACCAGAGGGTACATATATAAGTTTTGACCAACTCCCAAATACAAAACCAGGTTTCTTCGGTCCGCGCCTCGTCCTTGACAATACACGGCTTCTGATTCTCCTTCTCAAAGCCTGGCGGTCGCCGGAAACCATACGGACCAGCCGGGGAGTTCCAGCAACTTCTTCAGCGAGGTCGCCTCTGGTATTACAAGCTTGTGGAAAGCCATGGAAACCATACATATATAAATATATAAATGTATATATATATATATATAACTGGTGGGTGGTTTTAACCATCTTGAAAAATATGAAAGTCAATGGGAAGGATTATCCCATATATTATGGAAAATAACAAACAATTGAAACCACCAACCAGATGACCATATCACTGTGATTTGCCGTGTTCCCATTGAAATTGAGTCAGTTTACCACAGGTAGGTTCACTCCGAGGGGAGAGCAACACATCTTGAATAGGATTTGCTTCAGGGGAAAAATTAAACATATTCCCTATAGATTCCCCAAATAGTGGATTTCCCATAAACTTCGACTTTTGCGACTGCGCAATCCATGTGAAAGAAGCAGTCAAGAGTGACTCTAGCAGGTCATCCCCAACAAATAGAAATGGTATGTTAAACTCTCACTAAAACGGTGATCATTTACCCTCTGGTAAACATACAAAAAACTATGGAAAATCACAATTTTTCATGGGTAAAGCCACTATAAATGGTACGTTTCTGTCTTTTTGGTGGTTGTGATGATATCTAGTGATGCCATGAAATTATTCCCTAAATATAAGACACATCCCAATTGCATGGTCCCAGATATGTGTGAATTCCCTACTAAACCATGGTTTCTGGGGGGTGTTGAATTTGGAGATAAGGGATTGATCTTTAGCTGGTACTATATATATATGTATATATATATATATACCTGGAACCCACATGATGCCTCTATCCTCTTTTGGATGGTTAACCTTCAAAATTTTATGGGTCAACACCTTGAAAACAAGGGTCATGTGGGTTTCAGGTATATGTATTATGAACAATTCCTGGAATTTTGAGAAGAAAACAAGCAACGATTCACCCACCCCTCACCTACCGGACCCGCCTCTCGATGCGAAAATATTCAAGGGCTTGGCCTCAGTAGGGCGAACCGACCGAATTGGATCCAAGCCAAGCATGGTGCGTAGTGGTTCTGGTTGGTGGCTGAATGACTCAGATGGTGAAAACATCATCTCATGGATATCATGGCCTATCAATATGTTACCCTCTGGCAAACTAACAGTTTGCGAACTTGAAAATTGCCACAGAAATATCTTGATTTACCCAGTAAAAATGGTGATTTTCCATAGTTATGTAAACGTTTACCAGAGGGGAACCATCTCCAAAAAATTCGGATGGTCTATTCTTACTGAAGAAATTTGGGAATTTCAACGGACTAAAGATAACCCGGGCTGTTTCATTGGGGAGTACAATTTGAGAATCAGATGATCACTTGTCAATGCCCCTAATTCATCAACCAGGGTTTATTAAATCTTGGATAATGTTCACCCAGGATGAATAAACCAGCATTTTTGGGGTGCTAGCAATTTTTGCATACGAATTCATCACTCGTGTTTTTGGGGATGATTCTCCCATGAATTTCACCCCCCCCAAAAAAAACAAAAATCCATCAGTGTGCGGCGCCTGGGTTTGCTGATGGAATCGCAGGGAATTGAAGCAATTGGGGTACAGGATGGGGCCCCAGTTCATTGGCTAAGTTGGTGCAAATAACTACAATAACAAGTTGGTGTATGATACGCAAACAACTATATTTAGATGGGTTATAAACCAACTTATAGCTGGGGGGCCTTATCCTGTAATATCTGGAGATAATTATCACTATAATCGGATATGATCATTTACTCTCTGGCAATGAAACATGGCAATGGGAAATCCTTTTTCAGTAAATGGAGTTGTTGAGTTTTTGCTGGGACAAATCAACTGGTAGTTATGGAAGAAACATATGTTGACCTGGTAGTTATTATCCCCATTTTGTTGTCTGTCTAAACTGAACCACCAAACATGGCTAATGCTAGATCACTATAACTCCTGCATATTTGTTTTCTTGAGCCGTGTAGGCTGCCATGTAGTAACCGTTCCCATTCATGGAATCATGAATAGTGATTCAGCTGCCACCCACTAGGGTGGACCATAACCATGATCCCAGCTAATGTCCCCTGCAGCTGCTCTTATTGTTGGTTGCACATCCCATTTAATATTATGGTTATAATTCCTATCATATTCCTATGAACCATATTCCTCACATACTATACTGATAGTTACTCATATTCCATCATATTCATGGTTATGAGTCTATTATGAATACCATATTATGGTTAATTATCAATATTGTAAAACCAACCATATTTCCGTTATGGATATAACATATCAATATTATGGTTGGTTTTACATATTTTACCATGGAGTCTAGACTTAAATTTCTTTCCAGGTTATCCCCTTGCCGGAAAATACTACAAATAGATGTGATATGTACTGGTTGGTGGTATACCTACCCCTCTGAAAAATGATGGAGTTCGTCAGTTGGGATGATGACATTCCCAACCGAATGGAAAAATAAAAAAATGTTCCAAACCACCAACCAGTATATAATTATATATGTCTATGTTTATGTAGCCTAGTTGCATCTCCAAGATATCTAACTTTCCCCCAAATTCAAAATTAAACAGAAACAATACGTGGCACAAATCATCCCCAAAACGGCTGTTTTATGATTTTGGCCACCAAATTGCCCCGAATCAATTTTCGTTCTTAATTCCAATCATATCCCGTGAGATCTTCGGATTTTTCGCACAAGTTGGAGGATCATCGTCTGGTTAAGAAGTCACCATTCACTGGCTCCCACAACCAAAAGGTGACGCCCCGTAACTAGTGACAACTCAGTTGACTTATGACTACCGACGCAGTGGACCAACTAGGGCTTTTGGATGGGTATATAACATATGATATAGCTAGTTATGGCATTTTGTTACTGGTTGTCTTACTGGTGCTAAACGTAGGGAATGGATGGGAATGGGGGTTGCTGGGATGATTATTACTAGTGACTATGGAGCATTCCCGAAAATTCCCTGCGTTTAGCACCAGTAAGTTGTAAACCAACAAAGAACCGGGGGCCTCAACTTGTACCCTCTGGTAAACTAACATAACTATGGAAAATCACCATGTTTTATGGGAAAACTCACGATAAATGGCCATGTTCAATAGCTATGTTAGTTTACCAGAGGTAGGTGGAACAAAAACTATGGTTCGGTCCAAGCAACCCAAGGGGGCAGAGTCTTGTCCGCGCGCACGGCCACCTGGCGGGCAGTGGACTTCACGTGACGACAAAGCTTGTCATTTCTGAAGCAATGAACATTGAGATAGAAATCAGTGGCTATAACCATATGATTATAAAACTAATATTATAGTTATATAATTAAGCATCTCAAATGATTTGTAATCAGTAGCTATCTGGTTGGTGGTATACCTACCCCTCTGAAAGAGATGAGTTCGTCAGTTGATGTCAGTTGGGATGATGACATTCCCAATATATGGAAAAATAAAAAATGTTCCAAACCACCCAGCTATATACTGCGTAAGTCCGTAGTATTCCTATAAGAATCATGTAATCATATTTATGGGTGGCTCCAACGAGGGTTTTGGTTATTCAGAGTTCTTCTTTTGGGTTTTCACCAATGAATATGGGCATGGGCATCCAACACAAATAGGGCAATAGAGCCATATCCATATACCAAATATAAATGACTATACTCCCACCACCTACTGTTTAAGCATTTTAACCAGAATATACCGTTTTTCAAGGAGAGGAATTGGATAAACATGAAGGGCCTAAAAATGCAAATTGTATGTGCTTTGAGTGGTTTGGTGCTTAAAAAAACACTCTCATGGAATCTTCATGGGTGGAGAAATTTGACAAACTTCAAACAATATTCGTTGGTGGTATACCTACCCCTCTGAAAAATGATGGAGTGAAAGTCAGTTGGGATGATGACATTCCCAACTGAATGGAAAGTCATAAAATTCCATGGTTCCAGTCACCACCAACCAGGTAACCAGTCATCCCAAAGAGAGCGACAATTTATAGATTGGGACTCTGAGCCAGTTCAAAGCCGAGCCAGTTCAACGAAATCACGACATGTTCGACACATATGTTTTACCTTGCGGCAAGCAAACATGGCTGGCTGGGAAAAGCTGTACATTTGTATCTTTGAATAGGACAATCATCTATAAGTGGGGAATTTTCCAGCAAACCATGTTTGATTACCGGAGGGTAAACACGGTAAAACACGTTCAACACGTTCAACACGTTGGCGTTTCATGGATCATCTGTAGCTGATCCTCATGGATGATGGTGGAAAAAAATGGTGCCCAAATTGCTATGATGTTCAGACTGCAGTTCATAATTTCGGAATTCACGAACTAAAATAATCATTTTTCCAGAATATTAGATACGCTGGTTTCATCTACCCTCTGGTAAACTGTCACATAACGAACTGTAAAATCACCATTTTCAATGGGAAAATCCACTATTTCTATGTCGGCTTATATTTGTCGCAGGATTTTCAGGGGATGATACCCAGTGTGACTGCAATGGAACTGCAACTGTGATTGCATCGCTTGCCACGATCAAGTGGTGCTTGGAATGTGGCCTTTTATAAATGGTGCATGGCAAGTCGAACTATGAATAAATTCTCTGTTTCCAAACAAATGGAAGAACTGGATCTTCATCCCCCTGAAATATGCTATAGACATGTACTGGTTGGTGGTTTCACCCCCCCTGAAAAATATTAGTCAGGGATTATCATCCCAACTATTGGGGAAAATAAAGCATGTTCCAAACCACCAACCAGTTGTTGGCTATATCCCCATGGGTGGTTAATAAGCCCAACAATGAAGCCTATGGGAAATCACCATTTTCTCTGGAGATTGGTGCGATGATCCCCCCAACAATAACTTGGATTTGCTGAAGGGGTGCCCCAAAAAAAAAAACATATTCACTATAGATTCCCCAAATGGTGGATTCTCCGTTGGGAAAATAAAAAAAAAAACACCTTAAACAAACCCAACAATAAGGGTGAATGGAGAATATTGAGAATTGCAACACATTTGTTTAAGTGGTGTTTTTGAGGAAGTATCCTTAGATATACACATAAAATACGTTCCATCCCAGTTTTTCCATTAGCCCATGAATTTGAACAATTCATTCATTGATTCAGCGAAACAAATCACCGTTTTGGATGTTTTTATTATGGTTCAACCAACGATTCCGTTAATGTATTCCTGATCAGAGGAATGTAATTATCCTTGTGTAATCCTAATTGTATCCCCATTTTGGTTGGTTAGACACCCCAAAATATCAATACATCCCAAAGATTCATTAGTTTATTTAGTTTTCATTTCAACAGTATATTCTAATTAGTACAAAAATGGTATAATCGGTCATATGATGTTTCTAGCTTGTTGGTTATAAAATGATATTCATGTATACCAGTAATATATATATATATACCGATATACCAATTATGGTATGCCCATGGTTCCACGGGTTTTCCACGGGTTCCCGGACCGCATCATACTGGCGGTGCCCGGCACCACCCTCCTTCTCCCAGTAGCACCTGGTTGGCGTTTCCGGTTCGGGGGAAATGGGTGGATTTTGCTCAACGAAAATGGGACTTTAGCTGAAACACATTAAAACATATAAGACTTTATCATGGTTGGTGGTTTTAACCATCTTGAAAAATATTAGTCAATGGGAAGGATTATCCCATATACTATGGAAAATAAAAATTGTTTGAAACTACCAACCAGTTATGTAACATCAATGGGACTTGAACCAACATGTTTTTTTCAAACCAACACTGGGACTTGAAGCAACAATAATAACACAACAACCATCAAACGTGGACCGATCAAACGTGGACTTTTGCCAACACCGAGAATAGACCATATAGATCTGGGGCATATTTACCAACATCAACCACATATATTCAGTTGAACGTTTCGGGACTCTCAATGTGAACAATGATAGGCTTCCTATCCGCCGTTTGTCTCACTCTCACTCCGATGGGATTTTTTTACTCGGATCATCCCGTGGATCGTGTATGCGTACATACCCATATGCTCCATGTATGGAATATTTACCTACATTTGCCCCAAAAATGGTCCAAATGTAGGTAAATATGCTACATGGAGCATATGGGTTATATATCTACCTAGATGTTCCTGAGGGTCTCGTTTTTTGCCCCTTAGCCCAAATCTGCCTTTTAATCTAAGAGGCGATTTTTGACTTTTGGTGCGTTCTATCATTACAGATGTCTTTTAGTAGGTTTGACGCCAATTTCCTGTTGAAGTTCGAAGATGTTTCAGCGGCAAGGCTGAATAATTAACTAATCACAGAACCCTCGTTGCCCGGTAAAATTGTGCTCATGGGCTGCTACTGCATGAAGCAGTTGCGCAGAGTATGCATCATATATACAACACGATATCATAAGATACATTAAGATACTGTTTTTGTGTGACACGGTTTTCCTGGCACAACACGGTTATCATGGCATGATAGGCTTACCATCAACTGCTGCGACGGCGACGAATGACACTTTTGTTATGGCATGATCAGTTCCTGGTCACAAAACCCGGGATCAGCTAATTACTGGTGTTAAATCAAAGTATGGCATAACAAGGTCTGGTTGGTGGTATACCTACCCCGGCCTACCCCTCTGAAAAATGATGGAGTTCGTCAGTTGGGATGATGACATTCCCAACTGAATGGAAAGTCATAAAATTCCATGGTTCCAAAGCACCAACATGCACCAACCAGAGGTGTTTTATTCTTGCCCAAGTATGCCCCGCTTTTAGGCAGATGCTTTTCGGAGCCATGAGGAATTGGGTCAAAATTTAGAACCCAAGCATTGCCACTCAACTGGACACCCTGTACTGAAAAACATCCAGCTGCTTAGCAAAGATCCCCAAAATAAAGAAGAATTGTACAACTTGTATTCATCAACCCATACAAGGTTTCGCATGGTTTTCCCCAGCAAAATCAATCACAGCTTCAGCTTTACCCAGTTTCTCTCAGGCGCTTCAGCCACTGCAAGAATTCCAGATTGTCCTGGTACCTCTCAAAAGATCCGCCAAGAGGGGTGCGACCCAGCTATGAGGTGGTTTCGTAAATTGATCCAAGTGCAAATATATGCAGCAACAAAAAGAGAACTAAAAACAAATTCTAAGGTTACTGTAGTGTTGACTAATTCCAACAATTCCAACCTACTTGTCTAGTTTATAGATGTTTAAAGTCAATTCTTACTGAATCTTAGTTCTGCTGGATTCTGGACAGGCTCAGTGTCATCGTTGTCCTTGGGATGGATATTGGTGTACCCTCTGGCAACACTGGGGGAAAATGGCCATGAACAGTTCATTGATTTACCGGAAAAAAAAACATTGTGATTTTCCATAGCTATATGTGAAATATGTTAAATTACCATGGGGTAATCAGTAATCAACAAAAATAAGGCTTCGATTCATGATTCGATTCAATCCCATTTGGCGGTTTCCGAAAATGGTGCTACCCCAAATCAGCTATGTTCTTTTAGGATTTTCCATCATGGGGTACCTCCATTTATGGAAACCCCCATATGTCCCATGAGGCGTTATAGATTTTGAAAGCCACGAAACATCGCCCATTAAGCGCGATTAGAATGGTGATTTTCGATGCAAAAAAACACCGATGGTATAGTCATTGATATGTGCCATCGTCAGGTTACTCGCTATATGGGGTATGGTCATCCATCCCAATATGAATCACTATTGATAGATTGATGACCATCCCCCAATATGGGTATATGTGGGCATATCATCCATTTCCTGACTGGTGTTCTATCCCATATATCCCCATCAATATCCCATTCAATGACCATTCTGCATGGTTTTCAACTCAAACTTTTGTCTGAGATCAATCCTGAACATTGACTTGCAGCAATCTGAAAGGAAAACAACGGTTTTCAAGATCCTAAAATGGAGGTACTGTATCATGTTTCAGGCCATATTTTGTGGGGATATTCCCCTACATAGACCTGAAAAGTAGGCCTTATATATGGTAGGTACCTCCAATAAATTGGTTCCTGTTGCATGGCCATTGAGTTTTCAACTCAAACTTTTGACCCTAGCAGCTATGGCTTGGTTTTACTCACCTCGTGAAATGATCTACCCAGGAATTCCAAGTAGGCTATATCCCTGGTTATATATATAATTTAAGATTTACCCACTAAAAATGGTGATTTACCAACTAAAACCATGCACGTCCCTAGAAACCCGCAATACAATATGCATATCTGTGATATGGGTGTGAAGGGTGGGGTGGGGTGGGGCAATAACGTTCATGTCAAGTGGCACAAGCATGGAATGTATGTTGCGCAGTCAGGGTGGGGATTGGTGGGGTGGGGTGGGGCAATAACGTTCATGTCAACTTGAACACGCATGGACTGGGATCTTCTCTTGCACTTTCACACGCACGTCATGCTACGCTCTGGGATCTTCTTTTGCACTTGCACACACACGTCATGCTACGCTCTGAGATCTTCTTTTGCACTTGCACACGCACGTCATGCTACGCTCTGGGATCTTCTCTTGCACTTGCACACACACGTCATGCTACGCTCTGGGATCTTCTTTTGCACTTGCACACACATGTCATGCTACGCTCTGGGATCTTCTCTTGCACTTTCACACGCACGTCATGCTACGCTCTGGGATCTTCTCTTGCACTTGCACGCACACACGTCATTCTACGCTCTGGGATCTTCTCTTGCACTTTCACACGCACGTCATGCTACGTTCTGGCTCAGCCAGTGGAATATAAATGACATCATAGACACTTGCATGCAATTACATGAAATTTCCTCTCCCGATGCCGAAATTTAATGTGCCAAATCATACACGAAACACAATGAAAAACATTTTTTGTCATCACAATTCACAAAGTTAGTTTCAGACGCTGTCATCTTCAACACTGAAGTGAATGAATGATATGTTAACAATGAATCCATGATGATCTGTCAGAAAAACAACATGAAAATGCTTGTAAATTACTATTTCACAGCCATCTGCAAAACCTTAGATCCAAGTTCCACAAAGACGTCATGTTCACCTGGCAGCAAAAGACGCGCGGGTTTCTATGGACGTGCAGCCTAAAAATCTGGTTATATATAATTTAAGATTTACCCACTAAAAATGGTGATTTACCCACAAAAAAGGTGTTTACCCACTAAAAATGGTGATTTACCCACTAAAAATGGTGATTTACCAACTAAAAATTGTGATTTACCCACTAAAAATGGTGATTTACCCCTTAAAATTGTGATTTTCCATAGTTTTGTGACAGTTTACCAGAAGGTATTTCATGGGGTGAAAGTAATAACTGGTTGGTGGTTGACCTACCCCTCTGAAAAGTATGAGTTCGTCAGTTGGGATGATGACATTCCCAATATATTGAAAGTCATAAAACATGTTCCAAACCACCAACCAGTAGTGGGATCAGTATCGTTAATGCACTGATGGTGAACGGGTGAAGCTGCAGCTACTTACAATCCGTGGGTCCCGTGGCTAGTTCGCCACCATCCCCATGAGATGCCATCAAGATGAGGCATAAGGATAGCGACTGGCTCATGGTTTATGAAGAAAAGCCAGTGAAATAAGTGAAGCAACTTATAAACCATAAGCATATTGACAATTATTGAGCCAGTGAAAATAAGTGAACCAGTAACTACCATAGTTGAAGCACCATATTTAACTGAGCGTAGCTATTGGGGTGTATAAACTAATAGCTGGGGGGCCTCAGCTGGAATATGAACCATTGATCTAATGATAGGCCATTATAGAAATCATGAGTAAGCATTATAGCAACCACTCAAAACCACGAACAACCATCAATAACCATCCATAACCACTAACAACCATCAATAATCATTGATAACCATCAACAACCATTACTACCCTCTGGTAAACTAACATAGCGAACTGGAAAATCACTCTTTCTAATGGGAAAACCCACAAACTAAATGGCAATGTTCAACAGCCTTTTGTATGTTTACCAGAGGGTAAATATGGAGTGTATGAACCACTACAGATGGGGATTCCCCAAATTGAGACAACGTCAATTAACCATCAATTAACCATCAATAACAGCTACTAACATACATACCATTATGGCATTATGAATCCACCATGGTCCGCATTTTCGGCTTACTGCGCGCTGGCGCACTTGCCACGAATCAACTGATCCACTGGGACGTTGCGCGCAATGTCCAGCCTGCCGAATGATAGATTTGGAGCAAGGTGGAAGTTGATGATGTGCGTTTTATCGGGAAATCTATGGTAATAATGGATAAATAATGGTTAAACATGGTTGGTGGCAAACTACTCCTCTGAAAAAATGATGGAGTTCGTCAGTTGGGATGATGACATTCCCAACTGAATGCAAAAAATATAAAATGTACCAAACCACCAACCAGTTAAACATGGTTTTCACAGTGGGTTTTAATGAGATATAATGGGGCAATGTTAATAAACTGATCATGGGAATCTCCACATTTGGATTACTAACTGGAGAGCATGGGAAAGATGGCACCAACTTGATATTAGGCTATGCGTCAAAACCCCCGGACCCGAATGGTACCCTGGCTAGTTTCATGGATGTGTATTCCACAAACATGCCAAACATGGTAATTTCATGTAATTTCAAAGGTAACTTGACCCATCCCTATATGAAGCGATCAGTGTCGAAATCAGCATTGGGTATCCCATGCTATTCGGAGATCAAATCGGCTGTTATTGTCCCACTATTATTACCAATCATCCCAGTATAATTACTGGTTGGTGGTTTCAACCCCTCTGAAAAATATGAGTCAGTTGGGATGATGACATTCCCAAAATATTTGGAAAATAAATTCATGTTCCAAACCACCAATCAGATTATTATTATCCCATGATTATTGCTTTGCTATCCCAATCAGCTATAACATCAACCCCGGATTAATAAATCCCTAGGTTGTTAACCATGGCGGGGGTTAGTGTTTGGGTAGCAAATGACATCACTATTTGAGGGGGTACCCCTTTATTAATCAGCCACGACAAATAAAAATCCAGGGTTGACACATGATCTCTTGTGTATGATAGAATACTGGTTTCCTCCCCTATACTCCTATACCTATGATCTTTTAACCGGTTGATATAATGGACTTAATCAAGAGACATTTGCTTGAAAAAAAAACATGGGGACCTAATGAAATCAAATGGGATAGAAAATAGCAGTATGATTCAGCCATGTCATGTGTCCACGGCAATTTAAATTTTGGCGATATGATGAATCTGATTACGGCTGAAAAATGTAAAGCTATGAAATCAGGGTTTAAGCAGCTAGCAAAGCCCAATGGGCCAATGGGTTTCTATACCAATCCAAACGGCGATGTGCACAAGGAAGAAGCAGACTTGCAACGAGAATTGCAGCTCTCTGGATTTTTAGCTCTCAAGCACAGATCTATAGTTCACCAACAAACATTGGAAGTGATCCTGCAAGAAAGGGCGATAACTCCAACACATTTTTGTTTTTCTCGGATAAACAACTTCTTGTGGTATGAGCCGATTTGGGGTTGTCTGAAAATGGAGTATATCATGGTATATCGGTATATCCATAGACTAGCCGTTTGAATAGGGATCATGTGAGACAATGATTAACCAATGGATGGAATGGCGAATTGGTGGGCTTTCCCTCCTCAATTCCAAACGTTTTTCACACTGAGTCGATGATGTTGGTGAAAATCCAAGGTTCATGGATGAGTTTTCCACGCAACGATTTTTCCATTGTCCTTTTCCGTATAAAAATAAAGTTTTATAAAGTAAATAAAGGGAGTTTCACCATTTTCGATTGTCACTTTCACCATTTTCAGACACATCCACATTTTTTGTTGGCTCAATTCCCTCCGCTTCCACTGAAACCTGAGGTCCCAACTTATCAAAGGCAGCCTGGAGAACCTCACAGCGGAAACATTTTGGCATGTCAGCTGAACTTGGCAAGATTAGCACACAACATGTTTAGATGAATTATGATGAATTGAGTCTCAGTTAGCAAGAATTTAGCAAGTGGCCTCAATGATATAATGGCGGAGATGAACACAACATAAGACTCTGATATCTAGTGTCATATACGCCACTAGATATCAAAGATTCTCATGTTTAAGGTGCTTAAATCTCAATATCAGCTACGGCATTCGGGGATTTAACCAGCAAACATGGCAGGTTCACCCAAAAGTATAAATAAACAAAGTAAAGGTCATTGGGTTCGTTTTGGTAGTTCATAAATGATATAAATGGAGGTCTAGCTCAAAAATGCTCAAAATAGAAGAATAGATGAGCAGTGCGGCACGAGGAATCGAGCCACTCAGCCACTCTGGCAGAGCTGCACCAATCACTCAGCCACTCAAAATGAACGTACTGAATCACTGGGTTGGTTTCAGGAAAAAAACACATACCCTCTGGTAAACTGTAACATACAGTAGCTATGGAAAATCTCCATTCCATTTTTAATGGGAAAGTCAACTATAAATGGGCCATTTGCAATAGCTATTTTGACATAGCCAGAGGGTATCTCATGCTGCCTCCTCCTTAAAAATCCAGGAAATTTGATGAAATCTGGCCAAAGATAAACCATAGATCTCAGCATGAATTGAACGCGCGTCCTAACACGTCCTGGCAATTTTGCACTGGTCCGGTCAAGTAATGCTCAAGTGGTGGACATGTGACATATACATAATTATAACCGACTGAATACAGATGTGTAACGTGTATTTGTCACACCTGTGTACACCGTATACCACTTTTCGAGCTTTGGAGACTAGATTGGCCCCATCCAAATTGAAAGCTTTTGGAGATCTTTTTTATTTGGTGGGTGAACTCTGGTCTATTCTTAGGCGTGGCCCGGCTCAGCACCAATTTACTCCCAACCTTGGTTGTCACGTGTACAAACCAGCCAAAAATGTCAAAGATGATTTTCACCAGTCAGGTCGTCCGTAAACCAGCCATTGGGGGGTTTGCTTGTCAACAATTCACCAAGTTCCACTGTCCAATTTAGAGCAGCTAAAGAAAACACATCTGGATCCGTGCATTCTGTGGCAGAACTTTTGAAAGTTCACCTATATTATGTAGGTTGGTGGTATACCTACCCCTCCGAAAAATATGACTTCGTCAGTTGGGATGATATGATGATGACATTCCCAATACTGTATATGGAAGAATAAAATTCATGTTCCAAACCACCAACCAGTTATGTAGGAACTTGAGCCCAACAATGCATTGTTCATTTTCGGCTGGATCTGAAAAAAAAATGGTCCCCATTCATAGACTTCTGGTATCCACCAGTCTGCACGATACTCAGATACTACCAGGTCCCCAGTTTTTCACAAACTAGCTGATGATCACTGATACAGCTGTCCATTTATTTCCATTTATCTGGGTAAATTTCTATATGTCATAAACCTAAATTGTTGGGCCACTCATCTTCCTTAGCGGGCCCACCCCTGACCTGACTGGTTGGGCCATTTTGGGATGATTCCCCTTGTTAACCACGATTCCCAGTGAGGTCGCAGTGGGGTCGTTTTAATTTACCGAGATTTATACACATATATGTATATATAGTTTGTTTGTTTTTCTCTGAAAGAGGGATAACCACTATTAACCATCATTATTCACCAATAATCCATACGAATCAAAAAGAAGAACCCAACCCCATTTTGGAGTAGGTAAAACCTATCACTGCTGATGAACATCCCTGGCATTTTGGCATAGACAAAGCCATGTTGGCATAACAACCCCAGGTCATAGACATTGGGAGTTACCATAGGGTATTTGAATGGGATGATCATCATTAAACCACATTTTTTCACAATGAACAATCCATAGTAATCCCCAGTTTTCAATCCCCCTTGCCATCCCAATTTAGCAAATGAGTTCCATTAACTATCATTAAACCACTATCAAAACAAGTAATCGCCATTCTTATCCCCTTCCCATTGATCTTCCATAATAGTGGTTCCATCAACTATCATAAAACAAAATAAAAATAATCCTCATTGTAATAAATACTCATTGCCATCCCAATTTAGGACAATGATGCATCCATCTTCGTTCCATTAAACCACTATAAAAAAAAAGTAAATCGCCATCTGGTTGGTATACCTACCCCTCCGAAGAATATGAATTCGTCAGTTGGGATGATATGATGATGACATTCCCAATATATGGAAAAATAAAAAATGTTCCAAACCACCAACCACTAATATGATATTGAACACAAAACCATGTTCCCTTCTTAGTATGTACTTGGAAACAGGATGATTGACTCTTGAAAACCAATCAAAGTCAAGAAAAAGTTAAAAAAAGAGGTAAATCCCCCATGTTAATCCCCTTCCGAAGTGATATCAGCCTGCCTTGTAATTGGGGATATATTCATGTTCCACCTTCGCCATCCAATTCACCTTTCAGCGACTTCAGGGTACCAGAGAAATCACCAAACAAAACTCCTGGGGAAAGCAGTTACATTGTGATTTATGTAATGGGTTTTAATGGATTTTAATGGTGATTTAATGGGTTTAATGGATTTTAATGGTGATTTAATGGGTTTTAATAAATTTTAATGGTGATTTAATGGGTTTTAATGGATTTTAATGGTGATTTAATGGGTGTTAATGAGTGAATGGTGATGAATGGTGATATACCCTCTGGTAAACTGTCACATAACGAACTGGAAAGATCTACCATTTTCTAGCTGGGTAAATCAACGAACTCAATGGCCATGGCTTCAACAGCTATGGATTGACATAACCAGAGGGTAGCACTTCAGGTTACCAGGTTTGACGCCGTCAGGTCTCGATGTGAAACACAGGAAATTTTGGAGGCGCCATTTTGGGTCGTAGAAACTGGCAGAAGCAAGAATGATAAGGTGGCTCCGAGTCATTGGGGATGGATTCTTCAGTTCTGGAATTTTCAGTTCTTTAGTTCTTTTGTGGTGAGATGATGATGATGATGATGATGATGATGATGATGATGATGATGATTAGTATAATCTTAAATTAGAATTTCAAATTGGGCCCTTGGGAACAATGCCTTACATCTGGCAAGCCTACGTCGAAGTGATGCAACCATTGAGGTGCCGAAGTGGGAATGTGACAATCCATGAGATATCATTGGGGATTTAACATGATTTAACCATCAACAATGGTGATTGAATGGGATATTCGTGGGGATGCAATGAGATATATATATCATAAATATTCAAAAATCAACATAAATCAATTCAAAATATCCAATGTTGGATTCTCTTGGAATACAATGAGATATATATCATAAATCATAGCCAATGTAAACGGGTTTTCTCGGAATTCTGTTGGGCGCAGCAAGTTCTCCACATCCACAATCCCATGGTTTAAAGCCTCCCAATGTCTGGACCCATCTCAGAGATGGCTGCGCTTGGGTAAAAAAAACACGCCGACTGCGACATCGCCATAAAGGCAATATATACCCTCCAGTCAATTAACATCAAACAATATATACCCTCCAGTCAATTAACATAGACCCTGGCAGATAGGGATTGGAAGACTAGTTTCCACTATAAATTATAAATAGGTGATTTTCAGGGTCCAACTGTTAATTTACCAGGGGTTAACATCGTCCGAAGATGGGGGTTGATTACCAGAGGGACTGAAACAACATTGGCTGCACACATGGTTCCAGCATCCCCAAAATCAATGCGGCTCCACCCGTTTTCGGCCCCTTTTTCTCCAAGGCCATCGACTGCTGGGTTTGGGCGTTTGTTTCAAGATTTGGCACAGAGGAAGGGATTCACAGAAGAAGGGTTACTGGCTTGTAGCACTTGCTATTGAAAAACATACAAATATATATATAATTATATATATATAATTATATATATTTAATTATATATATATATTTGGGGATATTTAGGGATAGTTATCGCAATCCGAATCGTTCTTCGCCACAACACGACGTGAGGTCCTTCTAATCTATCCAAATAGAAACAACAGATCCTTGATGCCTGAGTGGAACTAGATGATGAAAACCTCGGCTCTCAATATCCGCTATCTATGCACAATCCGACCATTTATAGATCTAGGGAAACCATGTCCAATGTTTTTTCTACACCTGGGTCAATTTACAGGAAAGCAATGATAAAGACACAAAGAAATCGATGATGTAAAAATCAGTTGACATACTCGACTTGCAACAATCAATTAAGTGGGATTGCTTTGGAACTTAGGTTACGCTTAGGAACGTTTTCCTATTTGTAACATGGCAACAGCGCAGTTATCTCGGTCTAAATGTGCAGTTGGTATGGAGAAAACTCGATATAAATCACAGGGGCTGTAGCGGCTACAGGTGAAAGGGATTGAGTAATTGATGCTGAACTTTTGGATTAAATCGGATAGTTATCCTTTTTGTTGGGGGCTAGATCCTCAAGTTTGAATTCTGATGGCAAAATCCTTATTTCTTATTTCTGTTTGTTGAAGCCTCCTCATACCCTCATAAGGTAGATACCTCATGGACCGGATTGAAACGGCATTTCCCAAAGGTTCATCATGTTCAACTACATTTGACTTCATTTGTACAGTTTACCCCTGCAGATCTCAAAACTACAGTTTTCTCATATTTTTTTTGCTCTTAAATCAATTCAGTGAAAACTGTTTTCAAGCATAAAAATCCGACATCACCATGATTCCCCAAATGATTCCCATGGGGTGATTTTCCCCTGGTTTTTGTTCATGTCCCATGAATGTGGGTAAAACAATGTCAAAAGGTTACACCATCTTCCAGTCATCACCATGTTTCTAGGTGCTATGGTTACCAATATGGTTACCATTTCCAGTCATGGGTGGTTTATTGTTTTATCCACATTATCCCATTTTCAATTAATAAGAATCATAACTGGTTGTTAACCATTATAAACCAATGATTATCCATTTAAAAACGATTGACAAACCATTGATTGGTAATAGCCATATACTATAATAAAACTATAACCATTAATGTTATGATGGTCTCTTGGTATTAACCATTAATGTAATTACTAACAATGGGATTTTGTTAAAATGGCATTGTCCTACCAACATTAAGACATGGCCAGCGTTTCTCCATGCAGCCCTCACTCCGGCATGGCCAGCTGCGGTAGGCCGCGCGCTTCACGAGCTTCTGTGGAGGCGCGCAGGAGGTTGGCCTGGAAAAGACATGTCAAAAACCATAGGAAAATTTTGGTTTAACCCAAATTAGATAACTGAATTGAATTGATCTATAGCATTTTATAGTGATTTTTTGGAAGGGTTGTTGACGATTTTTTGGAAGGGTTGTTTCATGTTTTCTGGACGGAGTGTTGCGATGCCATACTTTTTCCATGTCTTGACCTCCTGCCAACTAAGGTGCCAGAAGGTGGGTCTTTTGAAGTGTTCTGTTTTTCTTTTTGTTTGATGGTTTTTTGATTGTTCTTGGGTGGGTTTTTATTTGACTTCACGGTCCTCCCTGTTTTGATTTGAGCTGAGCGAAGACAATGAAGTTTGACGGCGATGTTTTTTGTTTGTCTTAGTTTATTTGATTTTGATGTGGTTTCCACTTCGCATCTTTTGGCTGAATAGACCCAGGGTTCAGGCCGGCGCTCAAGTGGATTGTGCCGCGCACGCAATTGCGGGCTCGGGGTGACAAAAGACTGCTATTGTAGTTACGGGAGCATTTCCGGCTTGGTGACCCAGCTCTGCTGTTGGCCTTGTAACGGTGCTCCTTGCCTCCCGGTTTGACTATGTGATCGCTCTACATATTTCCATATTTCCTTACAGTGCAGCGTGTTTGCGGTGCAGCGTATCTTGGTGCGGCGAATTTTTGTTTTGGGCTTGCTACTGCAACAGCAACGATATTCCTACGCTAGGTTTTTTGTAGGCATGCCCACTGCGATCGAATTGGCCACGGTTCAACTGCGACTGCATTGTAACCAAGACTTGGAACGGATCCCTTTGAATAAGGTGCTTGATGGACTTTGGTCCGTCTTGATGTGGGCTTCAGGGCTTTCTGCTGAGATGAATTTTGGGCACATTCACATTTCCGCCAAACAGAAAGGTATGCACATTGGCACAGCTGCAGTTTTTATGGTTGCAGATTGCTTGCTGCGTTGTCACCTGAAACAACGAGTTTTAGCTTGCTTGGAGATTTCAATTGACTTTTTGCTGTCCTGGCTTTTCTTAGATGGGAAGAATTTTGGGAGAAAACCAGAGGGTGCTCTGCAAGCCCTTGCCGGGTTGTTTGTTGCCAGCGGCATGGCGATCCTTAAGGGCAGGGCTAGGACCCAGCAAAGTCACCAGGTTGGCCAACTACTTTGCACAGATCACCGTTCGATTTTCTGGCCCAAGAGTTTCCCAGAGCAAAGTTTGGCGCAAAGACGGCAGGCGATTGACCAATTTGTCCACTTGCAGCTTCTTGCTGTTCGGGCTCCCAACATTGATTTGGAAGCTTATGGGTGCAACTTACAGAATTGTGCGGTCTTGTATCAGTGGCTTGGGCCTTCCAGGTATGTTGGGGTTGCTTCATTGCAGCGTGCATCCCGGCCCGGCATGCCAGGGCCTGCTTTGCGTTGGTGGGAGCATCTGCTGCATTGGTCCAGGCGCAGCCTCAAAGGATCCCAGTTGAAGAAGCACGTTCTTTTTCGCAAAGCAAGTGGAAGCAATATGGGTTTCTTGATTTCAAGAGCTGGCCCTTCGACTTTGATGTATGCTGCTGCGACTTTCCTACCTTTTCGCGCATCTGCATCTTCTTTCTTCTGAGACTTTCTCTTCTCTGATCTTCTCTCTTCTACTCTTCTCTTCTCTCTGACTCTTCCCATCTCTGCTTTTCATCTGTCCATATTGTCGGAAGTTTGACTCCTAAACTTCCTTCGATGAAGAATATCATAGTTTACTTGTCGGTTCACCCCAAATAGTAAGTGGGTTAGTTCGCCCCATTTTTTCTTTAGTACGGTAAGCAGGGTGATTGTCCAGATGCAAGTGGGGTTACAACTCGCTTACGATTGCTGCAGTGAGCCACCAAGATATCCCCATGATACTCTATTTATATTCCACAAAATGGTTACCCTCTAGTAATCAAACATACAAGTAGGAATGGAAAAATCCACCATTTACCTAGGATTTTCCAGCTTGCCACATTTGATTACCCGAGATTGTGCACAATTTGAAACCATCAACTGTTTCTACATAGTGCTTGGGTGCTTATCAGCGAGTGGTTGATGTGCCACAAATCGTTGGGGTAGTTATATTCCATATTATCCCATGTATATATATACATATAAATATATATATATGTGTGTGTTATATAACTATATACATTATATCAATTGTGCCAATGGTAGAAACAGGTGTCTCCAGTCATTGCTGGATCCACGCCCTAATATAATTTATATATATATATAACTAACTAGGGAATCATGGCTCCAAATTAATTATCCACTTTGTGGCTAGGCTGTACATTCAAGTTACTTTAGTTATCTTTATTTGCGTGTTTTACCACAGGGTTAATTAATTATGTACAAACATGTTGTACAAACATGTTGTACCCTCTGGTAAACTAACATAACTATGGACAATCACAATGTACAATTGGTAAATCAACTATGAATGGACATTTTCAATAGCTATGCTAGTTTACCAGAGGGTAAATCATATCTGGTAAAGTAATTTGATTATGACATAGAGACGTCAAGAGCGGTTCATTTTGGGAAATCGAGATCAAGGTGATTCACCTCATCAAGTACATTGAGTCAATGGCATGATGAAACAGATTTAGTGACAACCAACAAACATTCGGATAAACAAATATCATCTGAAGATGGCTTGCCCAACATGATCTCTATCAAGCCTGCTGCTTGAAAGACATTCAAACGTGTCAACCATCACTTTTGGTCAGTCAGTTCAACGGACATCTGCACAATAACCCCACGTTGTATCCCCTGGTGCCTTGTACCTATCGATCCACTCACGTCTAACCTGCCGATGCATTGCTTCCAAAGCGTGCCACAATACAAAATTGGGGTTGTCTGAAAACAAGGGATACCCTCTGGTAAACTGTCACATAACTATGGAAAATCACCATTTTTCATGGGAAAACTCACTAGTTCTATGGCCATTTGCAATAGCTATTTTGACATAACCAGAGGGTACCCCACAACTATCGTTTTAATAGGGAACATGGTGATAAACCGTCATCGGGGTGCTCTATCTTCCCGGTCAACCTCGCTTTCTTTGTGCTAAACCCATTTAAAAGCCATCGTCTCCGGTTAAGGTTTTCACTTAAACCAATCCATTCAAATCGGGTTGTCTGACAATGGGGTGCCCCGAAATTTGGAGGTTGTCTATGAATTCCACTATTTCAATTGCCATTTTAGAGATTCCGCATGCCAAGGCCCAAATAGACTGAAACATTGATTTTCACCAGAATATGGTGGTTCCTAAAAAATGGGGAACCAGAGGATCCCAAGTCACCATGGGCTTCAATACTAAAATGGTCATCCATCACGTGGATGATGAGCCGGGTGATGATTGGGTTACTCTCATATTTTTTTGGATACACATAGAATAGCCACCGCAACTGCCCCAACTCATCCGTTTTACCATCTGGTTATTTAACATAGCCATGGAAAATCACAATTTTATTGCTAAGTAAACCGTCTATTTCTATGGGCCATCTATACCATGGCTATGTTAAATAACCAGATGGCAATAGGCGTACCATGACAAAGTTTCCCTCAGAGATCCAACACGCAGCCACGGAGCTAGCGACCCCACTGGATGGCTTATTTAGAGGTACCCCCATGACAAGACGGAAACCTCCATTTACGGCTTGATCTTTTTAAGTCTAGCCATCTTATATTAACCATAATTTTTCAGGAATTCAAAGCAATCTTCGCTGACCCGTACCCCAGCTGCCAGTTTCTTGATCAAACAACACTGTCCATCACAGCACCGAACACGTTTGACACGGGGGCCTTGTAGTAGTCGAACTGCCTGGTGTTGTCAAGCCACTTCAGCTCCTGATGTCACAAAATTAACCAAGACGGACCGTCTTACATACAAAATTTGGGCAGAAAAATTGCGAGTACAGAATTATGCTCATTCATACAAGTAATATATATGTATATATATATATATTTTTTAGTAAAAATATAGTAGTTATAATAATAAAATAAAAATAAAATAATAGTAGCAATATATATATATATACATATATATATATATATATCATATATCATCTATCATGAATCATATATCATATATCAAATATCATTTGTCAAATATCATTTGTCAAATACCATATATCATATATACATATATACAGAATATCAATGACAACAACAAAACAAAACTAACATCTGAGTGGCACATGTATCAGAGCAGGAAGAACTTGGATGTGATCAGTATGTAAACATCTCTAGCTGATCAAAATTGAATTCATACGATCCTCCGGTAAACTGTCACATAACTATGGAAAATCACCATGTTCAATGGGTAAATTCACTATGTCTATGGTCATTTTCAATAGCTATGAGCAACGCAAGTTGGCTGCTGAGCTGTGTCAGGAGCTCCGTCATGAATACAACAGCTGCGATGTCCCCTGTAGGGATGATGTAGAGCTCACGACCATGGAGAACTGTATCCAAGAAGCGGTGTCCGGCGTTCCTCCATAGCAGCCATGCGCTGGGTGAGCTCGGAGACCGCAGGTGAAACCTTCTCGGCGAATTCTTCAAGGTTCGCCACTGTCGCCACTGCTTTGCAGAGCAGGACGCCTCAGTTCACGCTGACGAATGCTACAAATTTGGATAGGAAATTGTTTAGCTTTTCTTTAAGTTTATGTTTATATTAATTTCTGGCTGCGCCCATTTTCTATGCTATTTGCAGCATTTTGGAGCTGAAACCTTTCACTTCGAATGCTGCTATTGCAACATTTTATGTTTGGAACTTTCCTTTCCGCATGCTATTTGCAACATTTGGGGGCTGGAACCTTCCATTTTGCAAGCCATGTGCAGCATTTGGGAGCTGGAACCTTCCATTTTGCATGATACTTGCCTTTGTTTGCAACATTTTGGGGCTGGAATCTTCCAGTGGCATGCTATTTACACGTTGTTGTTGTCGGTTGTTGGTTGCTGTCTGCTAAATAGTTGTGGGTTCTTGTTCGTTTTGTTATTATTGTTGCAGATGTAGTTGTTGTAGCTGCTGTACTTTTTAAAGTTGTAATTACTTACAGTTGTTGTTGTAGTACTAGTTTTTTGTTGTTGTTTCTATTGTTGTGACTGTTGCTGTTGTGGTTGCTGTTGGTGAAGCCAAGAAGCCCGCAGAGCTTTGCAAAACAAAGAAGAATGAACATTGGGGAAACAATCAAAGGCAAAAAACAAAGAAACAAACAACAGAATTTGTCTGGCATTTTGCCATATGGAAGATAGGCCCTTTCATAGGCCCTTTCATGTTGCATGGTATTTGCAGGATTTTGCAAACGATATTTGCAGCATTTATGAACTTCAACCTTCCATTTTGCATGGCAACTTTCTTTTTGGTTGATAATTGAAGCATTGTGAAATCTCAACTTGTCACCAGCTCATTTACATCATTGTTTCTATTCCACGCAAAAAAAACAAAAGGGAAAAAACGAAAGCACGCAACGGCAAAAGAAACCCAAGAGTATCCCCAACAGCCAGAAAAAAAAGTTGCCAAACATGCAATGAGTGAAGTATGTTTATTGCCCGGCCCTTCTTACTCTAGAGGTTGGGCGTGCAAGGCGCAATTTGCAATCACAGCACAAACACTTTATTAAATTCTGTGGCCAATATTCCGGAAGCTCGTGCGAAGGGTTTTTCCCAAAAGAACTGCTGTCCGCCTCACTCTTCACTTCATCTACCTAACATACATCATCTACATCTCTTATGTCCTTTACATCACCTACATCTTCTATAGCATCATCTACACCATCTTCTCTAGATCATCATCATCATCATCACCATCATCAATCTCACCTACACCATCTACATCACCTGCACAATCTTTTTCCATCAACCTCACCTACATGTCGTGCATAATCTACAACGCATACATGACCTACATCATCATCTATATCACTGCATCCGCTACATCGCCTACGTCTTCCAATCTATATAACCTTACATCACTTACGACATCATCTACGACATAGACAACATCACCTACATCAGCTACAGGTGATCAACTTCTAGGGAACTCCTACAAAACTTGAAAAGTATCATTTACACAGGAGTTGACTTGCAGGTGATCCACTTCTACTTGAACTCCTACAAGACTCCTGCCTGCAAGGTCATTTGCACAGAAGGTGTTACACATGAGTTGCTACACAGGAGTTCAGCTAACTTCCAGGTGATCAAATTGTATCTGAACTCCTGCAAAATCAGAATTCTCCAGTTCTTCTATTTCAGTCTATTTCTCTCTGACAGCAGGGACAGCCAGGCGGTGGCTGACGAAACGTTACCCTCTGCGGCGTGTCGGACGCCCAAACGTGTGGCGAAATGCGCGTCTTGTTTGTCCTTGGGCAACCCTCTGCGGAGATCGTGCGTGTCGGATGGGCAAACCTGTGGTCGAAACTTCTTTGCCCGCAGCAACCGTCTGCGGAGATCGTGCGTTTCGAACGCCCAAGCATGTTGTGGAATGTGAATTCCTTTTGGGCACGGGCAACCTTCTGCAGAGATCGCGCAGCTCGGACATCCAAACATGTGGCAAAATGCAAATTTGGTGGGACCCGGCGCAGCCCCTTCGCACGAAATGAGGGTCAACCGTCAAAAACTTGTTTAAGATCTTGATTTTGAAAGTTCAGATGCAAGCGTGGCATGAAAGTCGAACGGCAATAACTGCAGGAAAACTGAGATTTTTTAACGTAAGATGCAAACGTTCAAGAATTGGTGTAAAATTGCGACTTTATCCATTTTGAAACGTCAGGCACAACCGTTTTGCGCGAAATAAAACTTGTGTAAAATTGCGATTTTATAAGGTCAAAAATTGCGATTTTCCAACGCCGGATGTAACCCTTTCGCACGATATGATGGCCGAACGTCAAAAACTTACGTAAAACTGCGATTTTTTGAAGTGTATAAAAGCTGCTCTGTGGAATCGGTTTTTCTGTGGGAAAGCGTCTGTGTGTAAAGGCTTCTCTGTGTAAAAGCTTCTGTGCGTAAAAGCCTCCGTGTGTACAAGCTTCTGTGTGTAAAGGCGTCTGTGTGTAAAAGCTCCTGTGCTCATCAAAAGCTTCTCTGTGTAAAAGCTTCTGTGGAAAAGCTTGTGTGTGTGTAAAAGCTTCTGTGTTAAAGGATTCTTGGTGTAAAGGCTTCTCTGTGCCAAAGCTTCTGTGATTCCCTGAAAAACAATCTGTGTCTAAAAGCTTCTGTGTGTATACGTGTGTGTATATGTCAAAGCGTATCTGGGTAAATGCTTCTGTGTGGAAAGGCGTCTGTGTCCAAAAGCTTCTGTGTGAAGAACTCTTGTGTAAATGCCTCTATGTGTAAAGACCTGTCTGTGTAAAAGCTTAGGCATTTGCGTGTTTAAAGTTTCTGCGCGTATGAGATTGTAGAAGCTGCTCTGTGCAAAGGCCTCTCTCTGTGTAAAAGCTTCGGTGTGTAAAATAGCTGCTCTGTGTAAACCCTGCTCTGTGAACAAGCTTCTATGCGTAAAAGGGTCTGTGTGTAAAAGCTCTGTGTGTAAAGGCGTGTGTGTGTAAAGCTTTTGTGTGTGTGTGTAAATGCTTCTGTGTACAAAAGATGCTCTGTGTAGAGGCTTCTCTCTGTAAAAAGCTTGTCTGTGTAAAGCTTATGTGTAAAAACTTCTGTGCGTAAAAGCCTGGGGGCGTCTGTGTGCAAAAGCTGCTCTGTGTAAAGGCCTCTCTGCGTCAAACCTTCGGTCTGTAAGCTCTGTGAACAAGCTTCTATGCATAAAAGCGTCTGTGTAAACGCTCTGTGTGTATATGTAAAGCTTTTGTGTGTGTAAATGCTTCTGTGCATGAAAGATGCTCTGTTTAGACGCTTCTTTGTGTAAAAGCTTCTCTGTGTAAAGGCCTCTCAACGTCAAAGCTTCGGTGTGTAAAAGCTGCTCCACGAAACGCTGCTCTGTGAAAACAAGCCTGACTGTAAAAGCTGGTTTGCGCAAAAGGTTATGTGTGTGAAAGCTGCTGTATGTAAAAACCGTTTGTGCTCAAGGTTCCTTCCCGCAAACGCTTGTCTGTGAAAAAGCTTCTCTGTGCAAAATCTTTTCTGTGTAAAAGCTTCTGTGTGTAAAAGCTTCTGTTTGTAAAGGCATCTCTGTGTAAAAATTTTCTTGTGAAAAAACTGTAAAAGTTTCTGTGTCTAAAGGCTTCTCTTTGTAAGGCGTGTGTGTGCGCAAAAGATCCTGTGTGAAAAAGCTTGGACATCTGCGCGTTAAAGTTCCTGTGTGTAAAAACTTTTCTGTGAAAAAGCATCTGTGTGTAAAAGTGTCTGCGTGTAAAAGCATCTGTCTGTAAAAGCGTCTGTGTGTAAAAGCCTCTGTGTAAAAGCTTCTGTATGTAAAAGCGTCTGTGTGCAAAAGCGTCTGCGTAAAAGCTCCTCTGTGTAAATCCCTCTCTGTGTAGAGGCTTCTGTGTGTAAAATCTTCTATGTGTATTTTTTTCGCTGTGTAAAAACAACATGCCTTATGATTCTGCCTGTCGCTCAGGTGCCAGCCCTAGAGCAAACCCTCTGCGGGACAAAAAAAGAGGCGTGAAATTGTGGACATATGACATTTGACTCGCTCACCCTCGTCATCGTCATCGCCATCATC